ATGCGCCAGATAGATTGTTGATTGAGTGCTGAATGCTTCAGTTTGAGATATGAATGGTGTTTCTTTAACTTTATGGGGTTTACTTTGCCATTTAAAAGAGCAATGAGATTGACTATTTCATTCGATTGATTGTTAAGCATAGTAATATATGTATAGCTTTTTCAAGATTAACAGATATTAATATTAATAGACAAACTTACTTGTTCTATAATAAGTACAAAGGCTTATACGCAAACGGCAACTCTTTCATTTTGCAATAACATTACCATAAACCAGAGGTAAAAATAAATAGTTTTCAACCAGAAACCGAAGAAACCATAACCGAATGCTCGCCCACACAATGGCAATAAAATTATATAGAAATCAACGAGGGCGCACAATAAATTCCAAACTGAAATGAAATGTGCCGCCAACTGGCAACAACATTATGTCAAGTGTGCATGCAGGCGACACCTGCAACAGAAATCGGGGCGGGACGAACAAAAAAAAAATGTATATATGTGTATATGGAATCGGGGCTCAACTGCGGAAGCAATGTATTTGGGTGGTACCCGTGCTTTGTAGGCTGCTCCGATTACAGGCAAAAAATAAAAAGAGAAAAAAAATCACAAGAAACTCAAAATATATATGTATATAGATTAAAAAAAAACTGAAAAAAAATCGAATAATGTTTGGCGCATTTTACACTTTGATGTGCCATGGCGCATTTTGTGTGCTATTTTTAAACGTTTGCAGCATTCGCACAGCAGGTGGTGTGCCTGTGCCTGTGCCAGTGCCTGGGTCTCGGGTCTCGGATCTCGGGTCTATGAAGTACCGACTCAGGAACGTGACCAACTAGCCATGTTGACAATGTTAAGGCGAACATTGGCTGCGTCCACTTAAAACTGTCAATAAATCAAAGAACATTTGTCATGCACACGCCCGAAACGTTGCCTCAACGTTTGCCAATCCACAGACTGAGATCCCAGTGCCCAACAGCAAGACCCAGACCCATGCCCGCAGTTTCGGGCAAGTGCTGAAATACCTGACAGTCGTTCTTTGGCATTATACCTGTTGCGCAGGCGCCGCTCAGCACTGTTTATGAGGGTGCTGGCTGTTCAGTTGTTGTTCTTCAAGCTTAGCTCAATTGATTAGATTAACGGCCCGAGATAACAACTGGCAACTGGCAACTGGCGGCTGGGCAACAACTGCTACAGTTTTGTTACTGACCACAGAGCACGGCAGATAGCTCCCATAGTCCCATTGCCGGTCTGCCTCAGCCTCTGCCATCCGTGTCGTCCACTGCAGACACATAAATCATTTTTGTTTATTAATATCTTTTGGGTTTGCCTTCGACTGTCCACTTCTTTATTTTGGCAAGTTTGTTTTGTTAGTTTTCAAAATCGATTTACAAATTTATATGCAGCTCGCCATATACTGTGGATACTGCGCAGTTTTATTATTGTGGCTCTTGTGTTGATTTCTTCTTGTAGCACATAAAAAAGGTTTAAAAAAAAGACAACATGCAGGTTGTTGTTTTTACATATGTTGGATTTACGATTTATGAATGAATAAAGTACGAACACGGTAATTATACAAATTCGTTTCATAAACATAAGTATTTTAAATTGAGAATTTAAAACTACATTTTTTTGATCTTACAATTAACAAAATTTTGTTTATGATTCAATTATTTTACTATTAATATGGAAAGTTTTCTTCAAATTTGGTTCCTCTTTTTATAACAAATTCGTATATTTTTTAATACGTTCTTTTTATACATTTTATTGCTTTATTCACTTTTTATTATTATTTATTTTATAAGCGTTCAAGCTTTCTTAAGGCTTATAATCGGTTTCTTTTAAATCACTTTAAACATGAAATTTGATCAATTTTTTCAAGTGTGCCAAATCTTTAATTATTTTTGGTTTATTTTATAGATTGTGGACTTCAAATTATTATTGCATATTAATGCAATGACACGAACATATTTTAACATAACACAAATAATAATGAGAAATATTAACCCTGTGTGAGACAATCGGGGTAAGTCAAATTTATTTTAGTATTTTAAATTCTATTTTTGAAAATGTTGCGATTTTTACTCAAATGACGACTAAGCAAGTTGCCTAGAAAACAGTTCCAAGTGTCTAAACAAGGGTCATTTTCCACTCTAGGGTAACTCTGCTGCTTTTCATGGGAAATAGTTTATAATTTGTTTTCATTTAGTATGTAAAGGAATTGAATTATTTAAGATAGTAAAAGCCCATATTGATGTTATTTATAACGTTTTGCAACGCACTTCTGATATCATATTAATTTGCCACTTTGATACATTTTTAAATAATCTTTAAAAAATGCAAAGTAAATAAACAAACTTGAAAAATGTTGATTGAAAAAAAAAATGGAAAACAAAAAATAAACATAAATAATGCCCCACACAGACTCACAACATTTTTCTTTTCTTTTTGTATATATAAATATTCATACAAAAAGCAAAAGAAGTAAAAAATTGAAAAGAGCGAGTCGGCACAGCTACTGACCACTTGAAAGGAAATCAGATAAACGAATTGAATTGAATTGAATTTAGTTAGTCGGTAGGCAGCTGGAATTATAATAATGCGTTACACATTGTGTAGGCAGCGTAGCAGATCTGGAGGGTCCACCTTCCACTCCGATCCACTGGCAATAGATTGGGTCTCTGTCCGATTTCAATAGGCTTGTTCGATGCGAGTTTTCTTTACTAATTAACCCAGCACAAATTAGCGGGACCCCCTGGCTGAGATCTACAATACTCTGATAAACAATGGAGGCAGCCAAAGATTTCGAAAGCGAGCATCGCACTCGACCCCCGCGGTGCATGCGTCCAGCGTCGCATTCGAAAATGGTTTCATAAATTAATTACCTACACGATATCATCGAAATCAAGTGGCACAAGTAGCAGTTGTTCGTGGCATTCCCTAAATCTAAATTGTATATTAAGTTCCAGTGGGTAAAGTTCAAAGTGCAGGGCAGGTTCTCATTAGCAGGAAACGGTCTTTTAATATGCCTGCAATTTTGGGGCATAACAAATTCAAAGCTAGTTGGTTGCATTGAATTCCAAAAGTTATTTAAATTATTTCCATATTTATGCATGTATTTATTTTTATTTTATTTATAATTTATATATTTTTATGATCTAGTATTTAGCACAATTGGGTTTCAACTAGATCCCCCAAATTTCAATATACATATATATTTTATTTTCACATGGGCCTAGAATATACTTTAATCTAAGCCCACGTCCATTTTGCTTGGTTTTGCAGCCCTGGCCTGGGGTCACATCTGTGGCATTCTATCGGTTCCATTGTCATTTTAATATCTCGCCAGAAATCTAAGTCATTGAAAATGATTTGATTAAATTGTTTCTTTGAAGCTGTGTGCCCACAGCAAACACGAAGGCATTGTTGTCATCTTCATCAGTGGGCTAGTCAGTCGTTCACATTTGGGATCGTTTGTCGCTCTTGTCTTCGTTAGTGCGTCATCAAGAGCAGAGTTATTTTTTTTTTTTTTCAATTTTCATTTCTTTTATTCTTTTCTTTTATTTTTTAATAAATAGCAAGAAGCAGCATCTAAAGGCAGAGCATAGCACCAGGCCACACTTGTTTTAAATTAATCTTCATTAGGGTCAGCAAGACAATAACACAAGTGGCGGGCTTTCGAGGTCGCTGTGCCGCAGCAGCGCATATGTTGCAAGTTTTATGGCGCACCCGCTTGTGACCCCCTCCCCCGGCCGTTAGCCAGTGCTGCTGTTGCCTGGTGCGAACTTTGATTGAATTTTCATTAATTTCTGCTGCGGTCGCAACTTTTTCAGCAAATGTGCGCCATAAATCATAGGACTATAAAAACAACTAGCGTGTGCGGTGGGTGGAGGGTGGAGGGTATATAAAAATATATAGAAATTTTAACTGGAGAATGTTGTCAACTTTTCACTTTTAATTAGTTGCGAAACCTGCAAAAATTTGGGTCACGTTGCACGGGCATAAATCAAAAATGCACTTCGGCAAATATTTGAGCGAACATTTTTGCCCCGTTCATGCCACCCAAAAGTATGCAACAGTGTGCCGCAGCTGGGCGTGGCACGCGGAGACGGCTAAAGGTATTCATGCCCGCGGCCTTAGCATATCATAATTTGAAACAATGGCAAATATTGCTTCGTAACAACTAATCAAAATTAATTTAAAAACCTTTAACAATTTATTTCAATCAGTTGCATGCAAATTTCTCTAAATTTCTGATTAACTTTGTGATAAACTTGCGAGCGGCAAATTGAAGAGCTTCGACTTTAAGCACCTGACTACGACGACGACGCAGCATGCAACAACAGCTGCAACAGCAACAAAAACAAACAGCAACAACAGCAACTGTAACTAGTCTGGCATAACATGGCCAACAGACTGTTTAGGTTGTACAGACACTGTGCAGACTGGTCCAGGTCCAGGTCCAGGTCCAGTCTGGCCGCCCCCTCTTTAACTCTCAGCTCAGTTTCTCACTGTCGAACTTATCCAGCAGACATGTAAATTATGTTGGTTTTTGCCCAGTTTGGGATTTGGCTGGCATTCCAGCTGACCATCAGACAGCCTCACACCCACCTAACAGTTCTGTGTTTTTGGCTATCTGTTTCTCTGTTATTGTGTCTGCTTAAAGCGTTTCTAATTTTTGGTTTTTGTTTGCAATGCCAGAGAGGGCGAGTGTAGAGTAGAGAGAAAAAGTGAATGAACACCTAACAAACATTAAATTCGGGAATATCTATGTTTCCTACCAGGCAAAAATGAGTTGAGTTTCATCTTATCAGCCGTTCAGCTTATCAGCCGTTGAGATCAAGACTAGCTATCAAACCATCGCCATCTGCTCTATAAGCATATACACACTATCAGCCATACTATACATAATGATAAGTAAACAGACGGGTCATACATTAAATAAATAAACCTGGTGGCCGAAAGCTTTTGCACTTCCAAAGTGGTCACCAAAAGCCCAACATGCCAACGGAACTGGACTCAAAGGATGGCATCCTCATTCGCACCATGACGGTGGCCGACTACCAGCCCCTGAAGACGCTTATGGGGGGCAATTTCTTTAAAGGAGAACCGCTCGGTGAGCTTTACGAACCAGAATGGGTCATAAAGTTCAAAGATGAGTATTACATTTCTATGATCGAGCAGGGCACCTGCCTGTTGGCGGTAGATGAGAACAATGGCGGACGCATTGTGGGCTACGTACTGGCCCATGCCCAGACCCCTGACGATTTGGATAGGGATCGCAAGAGGGCCGCTGCCAGTGAGCCAAATACATGGGAGGATATTCTTGTGTTTCTGTCCAGAGTCGATATAGAAGTCAATCTCTTCAAGCGTTATGGAATTTCAGAACTGCTCTTCTCCTTCATGACCCATGTGGTTGCCCCAATGCGTGGCAAAGGGCTGGGCTCACGTCTGGCTGCCGCTCTGATGGAAATTGGGCGCAAAAAGGGCTTTCCCCTTATGGTAGCACAATGCATCAGCTACTACTCGGCACGTCAGAAGGAAGCCTTGGGCATGGAGTGCGCATACTCGATAGCCTATGCCGATTACAAGGACGAAAGTGGCCAAGTGGTGTTCAAACCAGCTGCACCACACACACATTTACGTGTTATGGTCATCAAACTCTAAGTTGTTTTATTGTTATTATAAATATAAAGCACCATTTGATATTTGGCTGGAGCTATATTTGTCTAGCTGTTGCTATTAAATTTGGTGCTTATAGTCCGATCCGATCCGATAAAAAATACTCTTGGTTAAGTGTTGTATAGAATAGTGTGTTTATATCATCTTTTTTTTTAATATTTTTAATTTTTTAATTTTAATTTTAATTTAATTTTTAATTTTAATATTTGATAACATATACAACATGTTTAGTATATCTAACGCTTATACTCCTTGAATTACGCCAAAAAAAAACCATGTTTCTTAATCGATATTTATCGATGTTAAGAAAATAGCAAAAGATATCTAAAGATGTTATTAGCTCAAATTGCGATTGTTGTCGTATGACATATTTTCAGACTTTTCAGTCACGATTATATAACCACATGGGGTCTGATACGCAGACATTCGCCTTAAGAGAGTTTTGGCCAGACAGAATTTGCTATGAACTATGTGAGTGCTTAAGAGATCTGAAACAATGAGCTAAGATTATATTATTTTATGACTAGATAGTTATCTTACCCTGAAGATATAATTGGCACTTATATGGACTTGTTTTGCATAACTGCCGTAAAATTGCCAAAATACTCGGACAATAAATCATGAATTTTTTGTCAGCAATGCTAACGCATTAAGGAGAACATTTCCGTCTATAAAAAAAATTCATGCCGTAGCGGGCTGATTCTAAAACTATGTTACGTAGATGCTATGGAAAATTTTAGTCAAAAACTTAGAATTTGGAACAATTTGAGTTTGCGTGTTAAAATGTCAAAAAATATCTTAATAAAAATCGGGCGGCTATATAACTGTACGCTCCAAGGTTTTTCTATAACGCAAATGTTCAGCGATAACGTTGTTGCCTTATAATTATTTATTATTTTGATTGTAGAATTAACTTCGAAGAACATGAATGCTGCTTGGATGTAGCTTTAAACTTTAAAGCGTTACAAAATTATACTTGCGTGTGATGAGTTTTGATTTATTAGTATCAACTGATTCTAATTTGTTAAAATACTATAATCGTCCGAGCGACCTCTGCTAATTTACAGACGACACGATCAGAATCGACGGCCACAGCGTGTTTGACGTTGATTCTCATATCCTACAACAGCTTTGATTCCATTCGAAGAATCGTTGTAAAAACTCGTTCTTTTTTGATAAACTTTGTTTCCGTAAATATTAGTTCATTCATAAGTACTTACTAGCTTTCCTAGTAAGGGGTATTCGTACTTTTCTTATTACATTGCAGATCATACAAAGTATTACAAAGCATTTCAAATTGAATCATGTAGGAACTAACGAGGCAGCTAACTATAAAAGATAATACAAATAATGAAATGCGGGTGTAAAACTTTATACTCAAGATAAGACAGTCATATAATAATCGCCTCAGTTATAATTAGTCTCAAATAAAATAATATTTTATTTAAATAGGATGACGCGAAAACCTTGTAAGACATCGAGAATTGATTGCCAATATAAATAATATATAAAGTAAACAAAATGTAGGAAAATAATATCAAATTGTTTCCAACTGAAATTCGTTAGCAATCCATTGATATGTACACTTTTGATGTGAACTTTTTGATACTCGAGTTATATTGAGGTGCAAGCCAATTCAAGTGTCGATATTGTTCGGGGCTGATAAGTGAGAATGAGAGAAAAGCTTTATCAAGGCAATTGTCATACTCTATACATATACTATTCTATTTTTTTTTGCACCCTATCATGCATAGAGTTAAACGATAAGAAATTCAATATAAATACATGCGGAGCACAGAAAGTGTTGCAGTTCTAAAGCGAATACGGAAAAAACAACATGCCAACGGAACTGGACTCAAAGAATGGCATCCTCATCCGCATCATGACGGTGGCGGACTACCAGCCAGTGAAGATATTTATGGGAGGCAATTTCTATAATGGAGAGCCACTCTGTGCGTCTTCTGGAGAGGATGTGCAGAAATGCTATGAGAAGGAAAACGATGAGTATCACATATCCATGATAGAGCAGGGCACCTGCCTGTTGGCTGTGGATGAGAACAATGGCGGACGCATTGTGGGCTTGGTCCTGGCAGGTGCTCAGATTCCCAGCGATTTGGAGAAGCATCGCAAGGAGGCCGCTGCCATGGAGCCAAATACCTGGGGACGCATTGCAGTGTTCTTGTCCAAAATTGAAATCGAAATCAATCTCTTCAAGCGTTACGGTGTTTCCAAAATCCTCTACTCCCACATAACCAATGTGGATGCCTCAATGCGTGGCAAAGGGCTGGGCTCACGTCTGGCTGCCGCTCTGATGGAAGTTGGTCGCAGCAAAGGCTTTCCCCTCATGATAGCCTACTGCTCCAGCTACTACTCGGCACGTCAAAAGGAAGCTTTGGGCATGGAGTGCGTATACTCGATAGCCTATGCCGATTACAAGGACGAAAGTGGCCAAGTGGTGTTCAAACCAGCTGCACCACACACACATTTACGTGTTATGGTCATCAAACTCTAAGTTGTTTTATTGTTATTATAAATATAAAGCACCATTTGATATTTGGCTGGAGCTATATTTGTCTAGCTGTTGCTATTAAATTTGGTGCTTATAGTCCGATCCGATCCGATAAAAAATACTCTTGGTTAAGTGTTGTATAGAATAGTGTGTTTATATCATCTTTTTTTTTAATATTTTTAATTTTTTAATTTTAATTTTAATTTAATTTTTAATTTTAATATTTGATAACATATACAACATGTTTAGTATATCTAACGCTTATACTCCTTGAATTACGCCAAAAAAAAACCATGTTTCTTAATCGATATTTATCGATGTTAAGAAAATAGCAAAAGATATCTAAAGATGTTATTAGCTCAAATTGCGATTGTTGTCGTATGACATATTTTCAGACTTTTCAGTCACGATTATATAACCACATGGGGTCTGATACGCAGACATTCGCCTTAAGAGAGTTTTGGCCAGACAGAATTTGCTATGAACTATGTGAGTGCTTAAGAGATCTGAAACAATGAGCTAAGATTATATTATTTTATGACTAGATAGTTATCTTACCCTGAAGATATAATTGGCACTTATATGGACTTGTTTTGCATAACTGCCGTAAAATTGCCAAAATACTCGGACAATAAATCATGAATTTTTTGTCAGCAATGCTAACGCATTAAGGAGAACATTTCCGTCTATAAAAAAAATTCATGCCGTAGCGGGCTGATTCTAAAACTATGTTACGTAGATGCTATGGAAAATTTTAGTCAAAAACTTAGAATTTGGAACAATTTGAGTTTGCGTGTTAAAATGTCAAAAAATATCTTAATAAAAATCGGGCGGCTATATAACTGTACGCTCCAAGGTTTTTCTATAACGCAAATGTTCAGCGATAACGTTGTTGCCTTATAATTATTTATTATTTTGATTGTAGAATTAACTTCGAAGAACATGAATGCTGCTTGGATGTAGCTTTAAACTTTAAAGCGTTACAAAATTATACTTGCGTGTGATGAGTTTTGATTTATTAGTATCAACTGATTCTAATTTGTTAAAATACTATAATCGTCCGAGCGACCTCTGCTAATTTACAGACGACACGATCAGAATCGACGGCCACAGCGTGTTTGACGTTGATTCTCATATCCTACAACAGCTTTGATTCCATTCGAAGAATCGTTGTAAAAACTCGTTCTTTTTTGATAAACTTTGTTTCCGTAAATATTAGTTCATTCATAAGTACTTACTAGCTTTCCTAGTAAGGGGTATTCGTACTTTTCTTATTACATTGCAGATCATACAAAGTATTACAAAGCATTTCAAATTGAATCATGTAGGAACTAACGAGGCAGCTAACTATAAAAGATAATACAAATAATGAAATGCGGGTGTAAAACTTTATACTCAAGATAAGACAGTCATATAATAATCGCCTCAGTTATAATTAGTCTCAAATAAAATAATATTTTATTTAAATAGGATGACGCGAAAACCTTGTAAGACATCGAGAATTGATTGCCAATATAAATAATATATAAAGTAAACAAAATGTAGGAAAATAATATCAAATTGTTTCCAACTGAAATTCGTTAGCAATCCATTGATATGTACACTTTTGATGTGAACTTTTTGATACTCGAGTTATATTGAGGTGCAAGCCAATTCAAGTGTCGATATTGTTCGGGGCTGATAAGTGAGAATGAGAGAAAAGCTTTATCAAGGCAATTGTCATACTCTATACATATACTATTCTATTTTTTTTTGCACCCTATCATGCATAGAGTTAAACGATAAGAAATTCAATATAAATACATGCGGAGCACAGAAAGTGTTGCAGTTCTAAAGCGAATACGGAAAAAACAACATGCCAACGGAACTGGACTCAAAGAATGGCATCCTCATCCGCATCATGACGGTGGCGGACTACCAGCCAGTGAAGATATTTATGGGAGGCAATTTCTATAATGGAGAGCCACTCTGTGCGTCTTCTGGAGAGGATGTGCAGAAATGCTATGAGAAGGAAAACGATGAGTATCACATATCCATGATAGAGCAGGGCACCTGCCTGTTGGCTGTGGATGAGAACAATGGCGGACGCATTGTGGGCTTGGTCCTGGCAGGTGCTCAGATTCCCAGCGATTTGGAGAAGCATCGCAAGGAGGCCGCTGCCATGGAGCCAAATACCTGGGGACGCATTGCAGTGTTCTTGTCCAAAATTGAAATCGAAATCAATCTCTTCAAGCGTTACGGTGTTTCCAAAATCCTCTACTCCCACATAACCAATGTGGATGCCTCAATGCGTGGCAAAGGGCTGGGCTCACGTCTGGCTGCCGCTCTGATGGAAGTTGGTCGCAGCAAAGGCTTTCCTCTCATGATAGCCTACTGCTCCAGCTACTACTCGGCACGTCAAAAGGAAGCTTTGGGCATGGAGTGCGTATACTCGATAGCCTATGCCGATTACAAGGACGAAAGTGGCCAAGTGGTGTTCAAACCAGCTGCACCACACACTCATTTACGTGTTATGCTCATCAAACTCTAAGCAGTTGGTATTTTGCACCATTTAGTGATAAAAAATGAGGCAAAAAATATGTGTTATCTAGTTGTAAATAAATTTTTCCACCAGTTGCTGTGTCTATTCAATAACATTGCAATTTATTGCCTTGCCTAGTTTGCGATAGAAGATAAGCCAGCTTTTCTGAGAATTCAATAGTAGAACGCGTAAAAATAAGATTAAAACTGTGTTAGTTGACTGCCTAATTGCAGAGTCACAAGTCAATTAATATATATTGCAAATTAATCAAAATGATTCAATAATCTTAAAAACTCAAATTTGTTGTGCTTATTAATTGACCTTTAGAGTTGGGAATCAAATTAAGAAGATTTATATAATAATGGGCATTTCCATTGTGATGTAAGAAGGCACTTCATTAGAAAATTTCATTAACCACTATTTTTCTAATATTCTTAAATTAATGCAGTGAATGAACTTTTGCGGTGCAGCAAAAAAAATGCATCCATACAACTCACCGCCACGGGCGGAAGATAAGCGAAAACGTTTAATTCAAAATATTTTACATATATTTATTTTACACAAATCAGACTTTTTATCATTACATTTTCAAGCTCGCAATTTCTAGTAATTTAGTGTCTTGTGACTAACACTTTAATTAAACTTTCTGGATTAACTAAACCCAGTTGCTTTCAAATCGTCCGCTTCAAATGTGCAAGCTCATTTTATGACCAAGCCGTAATTGTTCTCCATGGAAGCAAAGTCAATGTCAGCGTATTTGTATCTTTAAGATACTTAATGGCCCAACACATTGTATTGGATTACACACACAATTAAGGCAGAGTGTAAAAAAGTGAAAACTCAGCGATGACAGCGCCGCTTGGCGCTTGTCGTGTAACTGAGCTCAAAACACAATGCAATGGACTACCAAATGAAATTGATAAAATTGTATAATATAGAACACAAAAGCTTTGCACAATACAGACAATTCCATGTGTGAATAATATGGTAATACTGGCAAGTATTGCACAGGTTTACTTGGGAGATTACTCCAAAATTTTGTTTGAAATGGAAAAAAAAAATGTGAAAAATTCAGGTACCTTGTGGAAGCGTCTTATATGCGAATAAAAACTGCCTCAGCATTAATAAATAAAAACTTTTGACTCAAAAACATCGATACTATAGATATAACCGATACTTTGGCAGGTCTACTTCAAAGTTCTTAGGGCTGTGCTTTGTTAAGCAATCAATCTAACAGTCAGTCAGTCAGTCAGTCAGTTAGTCAGTCAGTTAGTCAGTCAGTTAGTTACTAAAAGCGGATACAAACGCTTGCTGAAGTTCAAGTTATTTTAAGCTCACGCTTAATGAGATACAAAACCTTCCAAAGCTCTCCGACTGCCCTCAGTAAAGCTCTGAGACTCGCGAGATGTCGACGATCGTGCGCGAAATGAAAGCGGCTGATATTGAGGAGGCCAGCCGGTTTCTACGCGAACATTTCTACACTGGTGAACCGCTTTTGCAGACCTATGCCGAAAAACAACAAATAGTTCTTGATACCAATAAACGAGCGTATAAGGAATCGTGTATTCAACAGGGCACTTCGTTGGTTGCCGTTGATCAGAGTAAAGATGATCGCATTGTGGGCGTGGCATATACTGGAGTACTGAATGCGAAAGAATTGGAAAAGAATTGGGTGGAGTTAAATGGGGAGAAACGTACGCAATTCATGGATCACGTGAAGTACTATCTGATCAACATTAAGAGAAATGCTCAATTTTTCGAGCAATACGGAGTTTCGGATGTGCTCTATTTGAAAGTTCTGGCCGTGGATTCTGCACTCCGTCGTCAGGGCGTGGCCCGTCGCCTGGTAACTGCATTAATAGATGTGGGTCGAACCAAGGGATATTCACTGCTGGTGGCAACCTGCACCGGCCTCTACTCGACGCAACTCATGGCCTCTCTGGGCATGGACTGTGTGCACTCGGAACTCTACTGTGACTATAAAGATGATGATGGGAATGTGGTGTTCAAGCCGCAAGCACCACATACGAAGGCAAGCGTTATGGCATTAAAATTGTAGGGTATTAGTAAAGAAATTATTCGAATTATATGTTATTAATAAACATCATACAAATTGAAGAAATTCTGTAGATACATTTATCAGATAGTTACAGTCATAGTCTAGTACTCTCCTCGTGTATTTTGTAACGTGTTGTCTTATCAGTTCAGTTTGTTATCTTGTCAAAGCCGCGATGCAATCACATGATAATGCTCAGCTCTGAGAGTTTATCAACTTAAATTCAAGTTCAACTAATTGAATTTTTGCGATAAGCCCACTTGAATGGGCCACCTACGAAATGCCAATAAAACCGTAATGTCACGGTAGCTTGCAATATGACGACGATCGTGCGGGAAATGAAAGTGGATGACATCGATGAGGCCAGCCTCTTTATACGTGATCATTTTTACGGCCATGAACCCCTAATGCAGACGCCCGGCGAACATCCGTTGATCTATGACGATCCCAAGAGGCGGGAGTATCGCCTCTCGCTCATACGGCAGGGCACCTCGTTGGTTGCGGTTGACCAGAGCAAGGGCGATCGCATTGTGGGCGTAGCGTTTGCTGGTATTATGCATCCCAGCGATCTGGAGCAGAACTGGAGCGAGGTCAACGAGCGCAAACCCAAGCTTCTAATCGAACATATACATTATTTTCTGTGCAACATCAAGAAACACGCTCAGTTCTTTGAGCATTATGACGTTACGGATGCTCTTTATCTGAAAACTCTGGCCGTCGACTCGACGATGCGTCGTCAGGGACTCGCACGCCGTCTGGTTGTTACCCTAATGGAGCTGGGTCGCACCAGGGGAATTCCCCTGATGGTAGCCACCTGCACAGGTGCCTACTCGACGCGTCTGATGGCCTCGCTGGGCATGGAGTGCGTGCACTCGGAACTGTATGCGGACTTCAAGGATGAGGATGGTAATGTGGTGATTCAGCCGCCCGAGCCGCACACAGAGGCGAGCGTCATGGCGATTAAGTTGCAGGACATGCCCTCGTATAATCCGGGTCTTTATAAGACATTTTTCTAGTGTTAGCATATGTAAGCATATTTTAATTTTAGCTTTTCTTTGAGACTATTTATTTTCTAAAATTGTATTTCACAAATTTTTGAAAACGTGACTGATGTAAAAATTGTTTGTAACCTTATCAGTTAACTTTCTTTATCGCTTGAGTTTTTTAATTCGTATGTACATAATATATGTATTTATGTCTATATGTGACATTATCGCATCGCTAGCATTTTGGCGATAAGCTCACTCGAAAAGCTCAACTGCTGTTCAGCATGGTTTTTTGAGTTAGTAACTGAACAGATTGCAACATGACGACTATCGTGCTGCGCGCCATGAGTGAGGCTGATATCGATGAGGCAACCCTCTTTTTACGCGACCACTTCTATGGGCATGAGCCGCTAATGCAAACGCCCGGAGATCACCAGGTGATCTTTGACGATCCGAAGCGAAGGGAATATCGCCTGTCGCTCATACGACAGGGCACCTCCCTAGTTGCCCTAGAGGGTGATCGCTTTGTGGGCGTGGCCTTTGCTGGTCTACTGCAGCCCAGCGATCTGGAGCAAAATTGGCTTGAGGTCAATGAGCAGAGGCCGAAAAATCTAATTGAACATACCCATTACTTTCTGTCTGACATTGAGCGCAGAGCGCGTTGGTTTCAGCATTACGGCGCATTAGATACGCTTTATCTGAGCATTCTGGCAGTGGATGCCTCGGTGCGTCGTCAGGGACTGGGACGCCGTCTGGTTACCGCGTTGATGGAAGTGGGTCGCGCCAAGGGTCTGCCCCTGCTGGTGGCCACCTGCACTAGTCTCTACTCGGCACGTGTGATGGCCGCCCTAGGAATGGAATGTGTGCTGTCCGAGGCATATGCGAATTACAAGGATGAGCACGGAAATGTGGTTATACAACCGCCAGCGCCACACATCGAGGCGCGTGTAATGGCAATAAAATTGTAGGCGAAGCGCTGATCAAAATTTACTGGCCACTATATAAACTTAAGTATGTAAACTACTTTAAGAAACTATAAATTTGGTTGGGGGCATATCTTGACGTGATATGCGAAACTAACTTGAGATTTACATTAAAGACATCAATTTGTAAGAGAATGCATCAAGAACTCTAATATATTTTATAAGAATAATTGCAAATTTGTATAATTGAACTTTGAACTCAGAGATTTCTGTTGAATTTGTATAGCATAATTGGAGCATGCTCAAGCCTCTATGCATGTTCTTCAGATGCGTTTATTTACTTGGCTGCTTTCTCAACCCACATGCGCTGGTGCAAACCCTTTGATGATATCACATATGCACTCCCATTTAAACGGCTCGCTGCTCACATGCAAAATGCAGGTCATTAGTGCTGCGATCCCGTTTAGCCGCACCCCCGATTCCGGGCCACGACTCTCCGGGCAACCCTTTCACGTCAGACGCACGCACTCATTAACCCATTTGACAATAACAAAGTGCAGTCGCAGTCGCAGTCGCAGTCGCAGTAACAATTCCCCACCCCTTCGTCTTGACCGTTGACAACTTTGTAGTCTGTTTGTTCGTTTTGTTGTCCTATCAAATTGTTTATGGCCGACTTTAAAGTGCATTCGTTTCTTTTTTTTTTATTGATTTACTTTTATTTATTTAATTCTCAGAGCAGTTTCTGTTGCGAGCCTCGCTTTTTATGGCCATTTAATTAGATTAAAAAGCCATAAAAATTTGGTTTAAAATCATTTGGCCTTGGGATTTGTTGCTAAGCATTTTTCTCTTATTTACTTTTTCGGTAATTATTTTAAATTATTGACATTTAATTTGTTGCGTCATTTACGCGTGGACACGGCCTTTAAAGTCTTTGTCCATAAAGCAAGCGAGCGACATAAAAAATTAAACTTTATTGAAATCGATTTGCGGAGAGATGTGACGGCGTTTGGCCCAACACAAGAGCTGTTGCCATTTTCAGCGAGTTTAATTCTCGATTTTTATTTTCGTGTTGATGACAACACACACACACACACACACGAACACACAACGGCGAACGGAAGCGGCCTGGTTGGCACTTGGGTTGGCCAATGGGGTTGTCTAGTACGTGACCCGCTTAACAAATTGACGCGTGTACATACCCAACCCCAGAGCCGGCCCATTTCGAGCCAACCTCCCGAGCCAAACGTCGATCGTCAATTCCATTTTAAACTGCTCTTTATAGTTATTGCAGTTTTATCTCTTGGCCATTTCGAAAGTCACTTTTGCTCTTTTTAATTAAAACCAACTGCATTTGCTTCGCTTCACGTGAGTTTTGGGCGTGTCGCTGTCGCCGTCGCCGTCGCCTTCTGCTGCTGACCTTGCCACATTTTTTCCTCTTGATATTTTCCCACGCAACCCGCTTAACTATGTATATCTGGCATTTGCCACAACTTGGCCTTTAATATTCATAGCTAATTTTTTTTTTTCGTTTTCATTGAAATTTTCACGCTAATTTACTTGGGTCAACAGTTGTGGACTGTAAATTTTACAGCTGTCTCTCATTTTTTTCAATTTGCTATTCATTCGATTTTGTCTTCTCATATTTGTCAAAGTTTTTAAGCCAGCAATTAGCATGATCCGAAGGCTAGACTCAGCCATGGCTACTGAATAGAGCTCATTAGATTGTGAGGTGTTCGGATTAGCTACAGTCCATAACTATTGAAGCTCAACTTGAATGATCTTCCCTTTGATTGTCAGCCTGCTAGTGCTAATTAATATTTTGCTTTGTTTTATAAATAACTGATATAAATATTTATTGCATAATATAGGTATAATTTATTTGAAGCCCTTATTTTACATAATATTCTAATTGTGATATTAATAATATTTTTATTCAAGATATTTAATATACTTGGATGACATATAGAAAATTTAGTAAGTATAATTATAAGTAAAATATCTAATTTTGTTCATCTGATTACCAGAAGGTTTTTGATATTTATGTCTCTCAAAACGCGGAAATGCTTATAATTATATAACTAAAACATCTACCAAAAGTTACCTTTTTAAGAATGTTTTTGACTATACCATATACCCTTAACTGACTAATTAAATTGTAGCTTTTATCCGAATTTTTGCTACACTTTACATCAATTCAATTGAAATGGGAAAAGTCGCTCCCACCCACGAGTTTTATTCTCACATAATCAAATTGACATTAGACATCGTTTAACTTATCTAATTCAGTTAAATGACCATAAACGTGCGTTGTGGGTTGCGGGTTCATTTCTCTGGGTGGCAATTTCAGCGACACGGTCAAAATTGAATTTAGATAAAGTTTTCGGGTCTGCCAGAGCGGATAAATAAGCAAAACGGAGAAGAAATAAATACAACGAAAAATTTCAAAAACCTGGGGACTCCCCCAAAATAAGAGGAAGACATTGGCTGTGGCTGGCAGGCAAAGTGAATTAAAAGCTCGTTACAAGTTTGTTTTTTTTTTCGGGTTAAGCTTACCTAGCAAAGGTTTCTCGATTGCAGCTTCATTTAAATATATGTATCTGTGCCGATATCGATATAAAGTCTGTAAACTATATATATATATATGCATATATGTATATGTTTTTTAGGAGTAGTTAAGCTCTTGAACATTTATGTTTTTTATATACTTTTTAATAGATTTTTGTTGTTGCTCTCGCGACGGCGGCGCCCCACGCACACACGTGCAGCATGGGGCACACACACACACACACAGACACGAACGCACGCACACGCACACGCGCACACGCACACGAGACTGTTGCACAAATGTAACACACTAATTGGCAGCCCCCCCCACACACACGCACACGCAGACTCACTCACACACAAACACACACACACACACACTGACAGTCACACGAACACGTTTAAGAACTCGCGAATACGTGAACTGGAGACGACGCTGGCGCTGGACGATGAAAACGCCGCCAATTTCAATTGCGCGACACGTTACTCCAGCAAAAGTTTCGCAACGACTACCGTTAGCCGACAACTGGCGCTGCCCCAACGAGCGCCGCAATGTCATCCACAGGCACACACACACACACGCACACCCATATAGTTACAGTTGCTCGCACACATGCGAATGCGAATGGACGTTGAACATTTTGCCATTTCCTGGCGACGTTTCCTGCTGCCAAAGCAGAGCGCGCGCAAAAGAGCAGGAAAGAGAGCGTGTGAGGCGCCAAAGAAGAGCATGTCATGTAACACTCACATTTGTGTGTGGGTGCGTGTGCCTATGTGTCTGTGTGTAGGTGCGAGCCAAAAAAAAAGAGCGAGGCAGTCGTTAGCTCGTGCACCTGTGTGTGCCGCTGTGCCTAGCGCGCAACTCAACGAAAGGCTGCAGAGAGTCGCCAAAGAGCGCAATAAAGTTGTTGCATGTGGAACGCATTTCTCGAATTGGATGCCAACTGGGGCAGAGCAGTGCAGGTGCCAGTGCCAGCTGCACAGGTAATTTTGCCTTTTGTTTATATTTATGCAAAATACACCAAACAAATTTTTAAAATTATTAATTTATTACCATAAGAGACATTTAAATCTTTTAAGTATATGCAGCCCATCGCATAATGCTCTGCACACATTTTACACAATTTTCTTACCTGCCATATTAAATATTTAATATTATTGATTACATTTGGCCGCCCCCACACAAAAAAAAAAAAAAAACAAACAAACAACTTAACGTTACATTGTATTTACTTCAAATTGAGTGTGCCCCCAGCGAAAGAGCGTACAGTGCTTTTGTGCTCTCTTATGCTGCGCTCTTGTTACGCTACTCCGTTTCAAATGCCAAAACGTTGCGTATAAGACGGAACGTTTTGGCAAATGGCACATGACTGGCAACTGGTTCGCATTAAGAGAGCATTTGTTAAGAGCGTAACATATGGGCAGCTGCCTGTTGATGAGACTGCTTCCGGGCCTATTTATTTAATTATTTATTATTTTTGTATTTATTTAAATAAAATAAAACAATTTAAAAATGTATGTCTCCTTTGTAAAATATTTTTTGACTTCTCATAATTTATTTTTTTTAAATTTATTCTTTTGTTTTCCACAACTTTTATCAGTATTTTATCAATTGTTGTTTTTATATGAGTTTAAGCCAAATAACTTTATATTTGATACTGTTTAAATTTGGTAACAAATATTGAATAATAACAATTCATTATAATAGGTTTTATATATTAAGTATATATTAGCCGAAAACTTTCAATCAATTGTATCTTTATGGAGGAAAATCTAGTCAAGTTTCCTCTATTTTTAAAGTACTCCCCAAAAATGTCGTCAGCTTTTGAAATCGCAGTTCTACGCCGTATTCTAAGAAATCTTCAAGCAAACACACACAATTTGTGTACTGAAACAACCACCTGCTCAGTGAATATTGAGCAACTCTTTACACCTGCTCCAACGGCTCTCATTCTCGCTCTGTCTGTGTCGCAGACCTGTGCAAGCAATTAGGGCCAGCTGGGTGCCTGAGTGCCCTACCCGTTAGACAATAGATAAGTGAACGTAGCACACATTCGGTTAATCCCCTTCAGGGCGACGACAACGTTGCCAAACATTCAATCAAAAGCTGTCAAAAGTTGCAGCGCCAACAGCTTACCAGCTCGAAATTCCAAGACAAACACAAAATATTTCAAATTGTTTTCAATGCTAACAAAAACTCTAAAACAAAAACAAAAGCAAAATCATAAAAACAAAAAAATAACGAAAGAAAGTGCATATCAATTTGTTGACATAACAACGAGAACGAAATATTATCAATGAAAAGTTCAAATATAATGAAATCATATTGCCGATAGGGAGGGGGGGTGGTCTCATCAAGGTGGGAGATAGGGGCGTGTGAGTGCTGACAGTTGCTATTCTTGGCAATTGCCACAGCTTGAACTACTTCTTCTTCTTCTGCGCTGCTCCAATTATGTTTGTTCAACTGTTCAATGGGAAAACTTTGGATGAATTGCGAGCACGATCTCTGTGTGATAGCATATTATTATCATATGCCCTTGGATGAATCAGTGAAAGTTGTTGTTAATGATATTCTTTAAATTTTAATCACAATTAGAATAAATAATCAGCTGCCAACGCTGAAAGTAAATTGAGCCTTATATATTATTTATATGTATTATTTTTTTAAGCGAATTTTGTCGTAACG